CTTCGGGAAATAGGAGCCTTCAATTACCGGAGGTGTCCCCGTGGGGAGCCCTCGGGATGCTGTGATCTGTTGGAGTGTACTCTTTGATTTCTCGCTGAGTCTACTCCCCTTCACCCCCCCCCCCCCTTTTTTTTTGTTTTTGGTTGGTGGTGAAGGGAAGGCATCAAGAAACTTGGTTTCTTGGTAAGGCTGGGCCTATTAGGAGACCATCAGAATACACCAATGGCTCTCCTCCCTCGGGTTAACCTTCCGAGTTCCGAGGGGATCGAGGGACGTTTCCTGGGCACAAGATATGGTGGTCCGTAACCTGCCTCCCCTTGGGGGATGGCGCGGAAAGCGCCTCATTTTTGAAAGTCGTCCCCTCGGCGCTAGACATAGTCCGTGGCCTGCCACACCCTTGGGGTGGTGGCGCGGGGAGCGTTTCGGTTTGGAAGTCGAATCCTGGGCATTTCTCATGCCTGTCATACCCTGGGGGTAGTGACGCGGATAGCGTTCCGTTTTTGAAAGTCGAATCCTGGGCATTTCTCATGCCTGTCATACCCTGGGGGTAGTGACGCGGAAAGCGTTTCAAGGAAGGGTTTCCATTTGCACACTGGTTGCAAATGGCTGGGGGCACTACGTGCCGCCGGCACCGATGGTGGCGCCTTCGGTATATGCGTCCTCGTGGGGTACGGCTTTTAGAAACAACACTTGGTGTTAGTTTCGATGTGTAGCCCCCCGATACTTGGTACCGAGGGGTCTTCTGTAGGAACACTCGGTGTTCTCTTTTGTTGTAGTTGATGTAGGCGTCTGCCCTCGGTACTTGGTACCGAAGGGTCTTCAAATGAAACACTTGGTGTTTCCCAACAGATGTTTGGAAGTTGATAGGAGAGCATATCCCTGGCACTGGGTGCCGAAGGGTCTTCTTTGAAACATTTGGTGTTTTTTTTTTCGTTTCGATGTTTGATGATGGAGGTGTACCCTCGGCACTGGGTGCCGAAGGGTCTTCTGTAGGAACACTTGGTGTTCTCATCTTCTCTTTTTTTATGTTGAAGGTGGGGATGTACCCTCGGCACTGGGTGCCGAAGGGAAATGGCGTTCCTTGTTGTTGCTGATAGGAGTTCCCTCTCTCGGCACTTGGTACCGAGGGGTCTTGACTGAAAACACGTGGTGTTTTCACTGTTGTTGTAGGTGTTGATGGTGTCCGCCCTCGGCACTTGGTGCCGGAGGGGGTTCTTCTCGTGGTGAGGCCGGGGGCCTGTAGTCAGTATGAGGGCTTGATGTCTTGAATGTATCTTCATTCTTCGAAATTGGAGGCCTTGGGCCATAGGATAGTACATTCACTAGTTATGAGGGCTTGGCCGCTCTTACATTATTGATAAAATTTAACTAAATGGTGTACATTCCAGTGCCTAGGGACTTCTTTCCCATTGGGGCGTTTGAGCTTGTAGGTCCCGGGTTTGATGATGGCTGCTATGATGTAGGGGCCTTCGAATTTTGGTGCCATTTTTCCTCCCTCGGTTGGTTGGCTGGCTTCCCTCCTCCGGAGGACATAGTCCCCCACTTGAAATTCTCGGGTGCGAACTTTGGCGTCGATGTAGCTTTTAACTTGCCTTCGGTAGTTTTCTGCCCGGATGAAGGCCTGCTCCCGGCGTTCTGAAATGAGGTGGAGGTCGAGGGCCATGTTGCTGTCGTTGACCTCGGGGTCATATTGGATCACCCTTCCGGTGGGAAGGGTGACTTCCGTAGGAGCTTTGGCTTCAAAACCGTAGCAGAGGGAGAAGGGTGTTTCACCTGTTGCTCGCCGAGGGGTGGTGCGATAGGCCCAAAGGATGTTGTGGAGTTCTTCCACCCAGCCACCGCCCTCGGCCTCTAGCTTCTTTTTGAGGCCCTCGAGCAAGGTCCGGTTGGCATTCTCTACTTGGCCGTTGCCTTGAGGGTAGGCAACGGAGGAGAAGGTGTGTTTGATGCCCCATGCCTCCAGAAGGGCACAGAAGGGGGCTGCCTCAAATTGTGTCCCATTGTCGGAGATGATCTGCTGGGGGACGCCAAACCTTGTGAGGATGTTCTTGAGGACGAAGTGACGGCACTTCGCCTCTGTGATGCTGGCGAGGGGTTCAGCCTCTACCCACTTGGTAAAGTAGTCGACGGCCACGATGATGTATCTGTTGTTGGAGGTACCCCTCGGCAGAGGGCCCACAAGGTCTATCCCCCATCGAGAAAAGGGAACAGAGGTGCTGATGGGGGCATAGTTGACCGCTGGCCTGCCGGGAGTTTTCTGGAAATGTTGACATGCGGTGCACCTCCGGGCAAGGTCAGCACAATCCCTGGCCATGGTTGGCCAGAAGTAGCCCTGGAGAATGAGCCTTCGGGACATGGAGAAGGGTCCCTGGTGAGCTGAGCAAGTGCCACCGTGCACTTCCTCCATTGCGACCTCGGCTTCATCTGGATGAAGGCACCGAAGTAGCGTGCCATTGTAAGATCGTTTGTAGAGCCTTCCATCTTCGATGGTGTAGCTGGGAGCCCTCAGCTTTGCTAGTTTAGCGCGGGCCTCATTTTCGGGTAGCTGCCCTGTGGAAATGAAGGCGGTGATATCTGAGATCCAATCCTCTTGACGTTGTTGTATGTTCATAACGGGGCTTGCATGGATGCTTGAGAGGCTGAGTTCCTCGATTTTGGCAATTTTGGAGATATGCTCGGGGGAGTCGGCCGAGAGCTTAGATAATATGTCGGCCTCGGAGTTCTGAGCCCTCGGTATTTGAGTGAGAGAGTGTGCCTCGAATACCTTAAGCAACTCCTTGGCCGCTTCCTTGTACTGTTTCATTCTCCCCTCCTAGTCCTCATATTCTTCGGAGATCTGGCCAACGACCAACTTGGAGTCGCATTTGATGTGGATCTGCCGAGCCCTCATGTTGGCAGCCAGCCGAAGGCCACATAGGAGGGCCTCATATTCGGCCTCATTGTTGGAGACCTTGAAGGAGAAGCGGATTGCATAGTAGGCCCTGAAGCCCTCGGGAGTAATGAGGACTACCCCTCCCCTGCATGCTTTGGTCGCGGAGGAGCCGTCAGTGTAGAGGGTCCACCAATCATCCGAGGCATCCGAGGGCTCCCCGTCCGTGGCTGCTCTTGCGGTACATTCCGTCACAAAGTCCTCCAGGGCTTGGCCCTTGATGGCAGGCCTTGGGCGGATGTCAACGTTGTACTGGCTCAAGAAGATAGCCCATTTCACCATGCGGGAGGAGCTGGTGGGGCTCCTCATGAAGGCGCCGAGGGGTTGATGAGTGAGGATCTGAACCGGGTGAGCCCGGAAGTAGTGGCCCAACTTCTTGACAGTCCAAACGATGGCCAACACCGTTTTTTCTACAGGGGAGTACCTGAGCTCGGCCTCCCTTAGGGTTTTGCTAACGTAGAAGATGGCATGTTGGATGCCGTCTTCCTCCCGGATGAGCACAGAGCTGATGGCCGCCGGGCTGACCCCAAGGTAGAGGTAGAGGGTCTCCCCTACCTTGGGTTTGGAGAGCACAGGAGGTGAAGATAGATATCGTTTGAGCTCGTCGAAAGCCCCCTGGCATTCCGGAGTCCATAGAAAGCCAGCCGTCTTCCTCATGATCTGGAAGAAAGGTAGAAACTTCTCCGCCGATTTAGACAGAAAGCGGTTGAGGGCTGCCAGGCGGCCCGTCAACCGTTGAACTTCCTTCACATTGCGTGGGGGCTCCATGTTGATGATGGCCTGGATTTTCTCGGGATTGGCCTCAATACCCCTTCGGCTCACCATGTAACCCAAGAACTTGCCCCCTTGGACGCCGAAGGTGCACTTCTTCGGGTTTAGCCGAAGGTTGAATTTTTGCATGATGGCGAAGATTTCCCGGAGGTCGTCAGCATGGCTGGAAGATTGTTTGCTCTTGACGATCATGTCGTCAACATAGGCCTCCATGGTGCGCCCTAGGACGGCTTGAAAGACCCGGGCCACCATCCGGGTGTAAGTGGCCCCCGAGTTCTTTAGGCCGAAGGCCATCACTAGGTAGCAGAAGATGCCCTCGGGAGTCATGAAGGCAGTTTTTTCGGCGTCCTCCTCGTGCATGAAAATTTGATGGTACCCTCGGAAGGCATCGAGGAAGGACATGATCTCACACCCTGCGGTCTCACCAACCAGTTGATCAATGTTTGGTAGAGGGAATGGATCCATAGGGCATGCCTTGTTGAGATCGGTGTAGTCCACGCACATGCGGAAGGTAGGGGGCTTCTGTGCGAGGACTACATTTGCTAGCCATGAGGGGTATTTCACCTCCTTGATGTGCTTAATTGAGAGGAGCATGGCGACCTCCTTCTTCACAAATTCCCTTCTCTCGGCGGAGAGGGGCCTTCTTCGTTGTTGCACTGCCTTTGCCGAAGGGTCCACCGAGAGGCGGTGGGTGATGACCCTTCGGCTGATTCCCGGCATGTCCTCCGGCCCCCATGCAAAGACAGTGGAGTAGGCGCGGAGGGCGTCGGTGATACCGGTCTTCAAATCTTCTGGGAGCTGGGCTCCAATCTTCACGACTCTCTCCGGCTGGGCCGGATCGAGCGCGAAGTCTTCTACGTCCTCGGCCGGTTCAGCCCTCGGCCTTCTTTCCTCTTGGTCGACGGTTCCGGTGATGGTGTCAACACGGAATTCCGTCTTGCTTACCTTCTTAGTGACCTGAAGATAGCAGGCGCGAGCAATTTTCTGGTTCCCCGGGAGTAGCCAATGCCCCCCTCGGCGGGGAACTTGAGGCAGAGGTGCCTCATGGAGATGATGGCTTCGAGGTCCTCGAGGGCTGGCCGGCCGAGGATGATGTTGTGGGCGCAGTCAATGTTGACGACGACGAACTCCACCTCGAGCTGGGCTCTATGGAGCCCGTCGCCGAAGATCACCGGGAGGGTTATTACCCCCTCGGAATCAATAGTATCGCCGGTGAAGCCGGCAAGAGGGGTCTTAATGGGCCGAAGGGACCCCCTCTCCAGATGCAGCTCTCTGAAGGTACTGAGGTACATTACATTGACGGAGCTGCCCGTGTCAATGTAAGTTCGGTGAATGATGGTGTCGTTTATCTCCGTCCGAATCACCAAGGCATCCCTGTGAGGAGAAGAAGTAGGAGGGAGATCTGCGTTGGTGAAGGTGATGGGTTCCTCCCTCAGTCGCTTTACTGGGGGCATATGAGTGACTTCCCCCACGTAAAGCGATTGAGCCCACTTCTTTCGTTGGCTGGTGGAATCGCCCCCTGTATTGCCACCGGTGATCATGAGGATGTGGCGTTTTTTCTCCTGGTAGTGGGGGTATTCTTCCTCCTCTTCGTCCAAGTTTCCAATCTCCCTCTTCTTGCCGAGGGGGATGGTATTCGGGTTTACCCAAGCATTTACCTTCGTGTGGTGCCCTCGGGGAGGCCCCTGATGAGAAGGTCCCTCCTGCCGAGGGCTCTGAACAAATTGGGACAGGTGCCCTGCTTGTATTAACCTCTCGATGGCCGTCTTTAGCTGATGGCAGTCATCGGTCCTATGCCCCTGGTGCCGATGGAAGCGACAGTAGGGGAACTGAGGGTTGATAGCGTGTACCTCCGGGGGTGCGCGAGAGTCGCGCTCAACGAGGCCCCTCTCCTCGGCAAAATTGAGGATGATGCTGACGGGGTGCGTCAATGGTGTCCGAGGGCGGTCCAGGAGAATGGGCTGTGCCCAAGTCTTAGGGTTGCTCTTATAACCTCCCCCGGGCTTGGCTTGGCCTTGCCGAGGGCGGTCATCAGAGGGTCCCGAAGTCTTGGGGTGATTTGGAGGAGCCCCTGGCCCTCGGTTATGCTTGTTGTCAGCCCCCGGGGGCTGCTGGTCCGGAAGCTGGTGATACTTCTCCACCTCCTCGGCCTCAGCATATCGGTCCCCCCGCTGCAAAGCCCTTATGTAGTCGCGGGGGGGTTCAATGATGAGGCTCCTTGAAAAGTTGCCGGTGCGGAGGACGGTTTGTAGGAGGGCCAGGAGGGTCCCGTCATCAGCACCGTCGACCTTGTCGGCCTCCGTCCTCCAGCGCTCTAGGAAGTCCCGAAGGGTCTCATCCCTCTTCTGGCGTATTGTTAGGAGGTGGGAGAAGTGCTTCCTTGTGCGACGCCTCCCGGCAAATTGTGTCAAGAATCGCTGGGCGAGTTCTTGCCATGAATCAATACAGCCCTCGGGCAGCCTGTTGAACCATTCGTATGCCGGCCCCTCTAAGGTGGAGAGGAACCAACGACACAAATATTCGTCCGACGCCCCTACCATCATCATGCTGTTCTGGTACTTGCTGTAATGTTCCTGGGGGTCCGTTTTCCCGTTGTAGGGCTGTATGTGTTGCCCTCGGTATTTCTCCGGGATCCGGGCCGCCAATACCCTTGGGGTAAATGGCGTCCGAGTCCGAAGCTGGATGACGGGTTCTCCGGAGCCCTCGGCCACCTTCTTCTGCAACTCCTCCATTTTGGCCATCATGGCCTCGTATTTGAGATCTGAATGAGGGGTGGAGGTGGTGGCGTGAGCTTTGTTGGACTCCATCTCGTCAAGCCGGCGTTGGAGGGCCGCAATAATTTCGTCCCGGGGATCCTTCGGGAGGGTCTCCGCCCCCTGCGAACGAACCCGGGCTGAGTGGGCCTGGTTGATATGGTGGCGGGCGTCATCGGCATGAAGGGGTGCCTTGCCTTTGTCCCGAGGGGGACGCTCCTCGTCTGCCCTCGAAACAGATCCCCCGCTTTCCTGGGGCCATTGGAGTGCTTTCCCCTCGAGGCGGTCTTGGACCCCTCGGCGGTCTGGCCCTCCTCCGAGCCGGTCGAGGGCGGAAGTACGGGGCCTTTCCCTGTTGTCATTATGGCGGTCCCGGGACTGAACTTCCTGGGAGGACGTATCTTGGGCCACCACCCCTTCGTCGTTTCTCACCCGAGGGGTGGGATTTCCGAAGGGGTGTGGCAGAGGGGGAAGTATGATATTTTCCCCGATCTGAGGGTGAGCTGGAGCCAGGTTGCCGAAGGCACCCGGGTTCTGGGTGAGCGTCTGGATGAAGGCGGAGAGCGCCGATTGCACGTCGATGGTGAGAACCGGAGGGCTGACTTGGTCATCGCTCCGGTTTGTCTTCTTGGCATCGATGCTGAGGCGGGCATCGGGGGCATTCTGTTGGATCTGAAGGCGTAGGTCGACAGCCGCCTGTTCCAGCCCAGCGATGACACCGCCCTCGGGAGCCCTGTGAGAGGCTTCGGGGGCGTTGACGTCGCCGAGGGCCAGGTTCTTGTCTTCTACGTTCTTTGAGTTGGCACGTGTTGTCCTCACCATTTTGATAGAGGGCTAGTGTTCTGTGTTTGGTCGAGGGGGAGGGTTTCTTACTCGATTGTTCGACCTCTCAACGAGAGCACCAAATGATGGATAGTCTACCCGGGGGTATATATCCGAAGGGTTATTACGGGGAATAACTTAGAGAGAAGTCAGAGCAAGTAAGTAAAAGTAGAGAGAGAGTGTATTCAGTATGAATGCCGTTTTCAGCGTGGTTACAAATGGGGAAATGGGGTGCTATTTATAGTAGCAATAAATGCCGGGCAGGGACACGTGTCAAGCGCTCATTGGCCGAGGGGTCACCTCAACTGGTTGGCGCTGGCAGCCGCATGTGGCCGCATTTAATGCGGCTGTTGGATGGGACGTGTGTGCGGGGTACGGTGATCTGTACGCATGTGAGGCGGATATCTTGTCGAGTGAGATGCCTTCGGCCATAGAGCAGTGGCTGAGGGCTCCTCCAACCGATGGCACCCTGGTGCCGAGGGCTCATAGTGCCGAGGGCTACTGTTTTCGCCGTTTTTCTCCCAGTTTCTTAATTTTCTTGAGAAACCCGTTCTGCGAGAGTTTAGAGCCTTCGGTCAGGGGGCCGAAGGCACCCCTGGCGCGTAGTGTGGGCTGCTTGGTACTCTGGGCGCTGTGATTTGGGCCTGTTGGACCTTCTGGGCCTGTTGGGCCTCTAAAGGAGTAGTAGGAGTCTGTGGGCCGGGGGTTCCCGGGCCATATACTCCATCACCTACCAAACCTGAAACTGAAAGGTGGGTCCCCAAGATGAGACCTACCAAACCTGGAACTGAAAGGTGGGACCTCAAACGAAGACCCATCCAAACTGAAACAGAAAGGTGGGTCCCCAAATTCAGACCTACCAGAACTAAAATGGAAAGGTGGGTCCCCAAATACAGACCCACCAAAACTAAAATGGAAACTGCTAAGTGGGCTCCAAAAATCAGACCCACTGCAAAAGCAGATCTGGCTATCGGAAAGCCCACAAGAGATAGATCTTTTGTTGAAAGAGTTGTTGACCTTGGATCACAGCTCAAAGCAAAATTTAAAAGGGTGTTTTTCATTGATAAGGAAGGACCCATTCCAAGATGGGTACCTAAACCTGTTTAATTGTTTTGCAGGACGGTCATGTGTGGCACTTGGATTCTGGATGCTCAGCCCACATGACCGGAATAAAGTGCCTACTGAGCAACTATACCAACTGTTATGGAGGCAATGTTAGATTCGGGAACGACGCCTCATCTCCTATTCTTGGATATGGGGATGTCATCTGTGCCAGTGTTACCATCAAGGATGTCTCATTTGTCAAAGGACTCAAACACAATCTTCTGAGCATAGGACAATTCTGTGACAGTGGGATGGAAGTGAGGTTCTTTGCCAAACAATGCTGTGTTCTAGACAGCCAAGGGAACTCATTATTAACGTGTTACAGGACCTCAAACCTGTACACTATTGATCTGAAAAGCGTCCAATCCACCACTTCCATCTGTCTGCTGTCCAAAGCTTCAACAGAACAAAACAACCTCTGGCACAGACGTCTTTCCCATCTCAATTTCAAGAATCTGTCCATCCTGTCATCGAAGAAACTTGTGAAGGGGCTTCCTCCGTTGAAGTCTTCCGCTGAAAATCATTGTAGTGCCTGCAAAATGGGCAAAATGACGAGAAGCTCCCACAAGTCAAAGCCTGTCCCATCATCTACTCTACCGCTGCAACTGATACACATGGACCTCTGTAGACCTATGAGAGTCCAAAGCATCAACGGCCGCAAATACACACTGGTGATCGTTGATGACTTCTCTAGGTACACATGGACAAAATTTCTTCGTAAAAAGGACGAGGCAGCAGAAATCATTATGACCTTTGTCAGAACATTCCAGAAACTGCTGCAGCACAGTGTTCGAATCATCAGAACTGACAACGGTACCGAGTTCAAGAATCAAACTCTCACTGGATTCTATGAATCTCTCGGTATCACGCAGCAATTTGCAGCAGCCAAAACTCCCCAACAGAATGGAGTAGTTGAAAGAAAGAACAGGACTCTTGTCGAAGCGGCACGCACCATGCTCATCCAATCAAGATTGCCTCACTTTATGTGGGCAGAGGCCATTAATACTACGTGCTACACCCAAAACAGAACATCTATCCACAAACGCTTCGACAAGACCCCATATGAAATCCTCTTCAACCGAACTCCGGATATCTCATTCTTCAAGATATTTGGCTGCAAGTGCTTCGTACTGAATGACTGAACTGATAGAGGTAAGCTAGACGCAAAAGCCCAAGAAGGGGTGTTCATTGGCTACTCACAGCAGTCCAAAGCTTACAGAGTCTATCTTAGAGACAAGCGAACGGTCATTGAGAGTGTGAATGTGACATTCTATGAGATGGCTGACTTCGCAACGGAACACTTACAGGCTGACCCGTCACTTGCTGTACCAGCGGACTCTGACACAGTTGAACCAAACCCTGTACCTGAAGGTGTGATTCTCAATTCTCTCTTTCAGAACTTCTACGAGAATTCACAACCCTCATCTTCTCCATGCACACCAGCTTCATCGTCAACTATTCCACAGCAACCAACTCCTTTCACTGAAATTCCACTCCTTCTCGGACCAGATAATGAACCATCTACTCCGTCAACTGCCCAACCTAATCACGGAGGAGTGGATGATCACGGTTTTGCTACCACATCAGAGTCATCTCCACCGCACACCACAGCTGCTCAAGAGTCACCAATCCCCTACCAAGACTCGGATCAACCGATCATTACTCCTAATCCTCTGGAACATGAGAGGAAATGGACAAGAGCTCATCCCACTGAACAAATAATCGGTGATCCAGGTCAAGGTGTGCGTACGAGATCGGCTACTATGAATGAATGTCACTATGCATGCTTTCTAAACCAGAATGAACCATCCAAAGTCTCAGATGCACTCGCTGATCCAGATTGGGTGATTGCCATGCAAGATGAGCTCAATCAGTTTGACAGACTAGAAGTGTGGACACTCGTGCCTAAACCCCCTCAGAAAACCATCATTGGCACTAAATGGGTGTTCAAGAACAAGAAGGACGAAGAAGGCATAGTGATACGCAACAAGGCACGGCTGGTCGCTAAAGGATACAATCAGCAAGAGGGCATAGACTATGATGAAACGTTTGCACCCGTAGCAAGAATTGAAGCAATACGCCTCTTTCTTGCGTACGCGGCCCACAAGAACTTTACCGTCTTTCAAATGGACGTCAAGGCTGCCTTTCTGAATGGAGTCTTGGAAGAGGAAGTCTATGTCGCTCAGCCCGAAGGATTTGTATATCCCAGATATCCCAACCATGTGTACAAGCTGAAGAAAGCTCTGTATGGGCTTAAATAGGCACCAAGAGCTTGATACGATGCCTTAACCGAATTTCTGGTTGACTCAGGTTTCTCAAAAGGGAAGATTGATACCACACTTCTCATCAAGCGACAGAAGTCTGACATCATCCTGATTCAGATCTATGTTGATGACATCATCTTCGCCTCCTCAAATCCACGTCTGTGCAAACATTTTGAGAAACTGATGAAAACTAAGTTTGAAATGAGCATGATGGGAGAGCTGAATTTCTTCCTAAGCCTGTAAGTAAGACAACTCTCTGATGGCATTTTTATCAATCAGTCCAAGTATATTCTGGAAATGCTTAAGAGATTCAACATTGATAGCAAATCTTCCATGACGACCCCTATGTCCCCCAACAATAAACTGGACTCAGACCCCTCTGGGAAGCCAGTCGATGCCACAAACTATAGGGCCATCATTGGATCGTTGCTATATCTCACGTCTAGCAGGCCTGATATCGTTTTTTCTACATGCTTATGTGCACGCTTTCAGGCGAATCCAAAGGAATCCCATCTGACCGCTGTTCGAAGAATTCTGAGATACCTCAAAGGCACTGTGAATCTAGGCCTTTGGTATCCCAAGCACTCAGGTTTTGACCTAGTCGGATACTCTGACGCAGATTTTGCTGGTTGCCGGATGGACCGCAAAAGTACATCGGGAGCTGTCCAGTTCTTGGGCGATAAGTTAGTCTGCTGGTCTTCCAAGAAACAGAACTGTGTGTCAACATCTACGGCCGAGGTAGAATACGTCACGGCTGCTAGCTGTTGTTCACAAATATTATGGATGAAGACCCAGCTAAAGGACTACGGTTACACTTTCTGCCATATCCCGATCTACAGCGACTCACAGAGTGCCATCGCCATCACCAGCAACCCGGTTCATCACTCCCGCACCAAACACATCGACCTGCGCTATCATTTCATCAAAGACCACGTGGAAAAAGGGGATATTGACATGTACTTTGTAAGCTCCGAGCTTCAACTGGCTGATTTGTTTACTAAGGCACTGGATGAAAAGAGATTCCAGTTTTTGGTTTCCAAATTAGGCATGTTGAACCTCGAGCCAATGTAATTTTGTTTCCACTGGTCTGTAAAAAGGTGTGCGTGTGTAGGACTTGTACAAAGTGTGCGTGCGTGTGTCTGTAAATAATGTGTGTGAGTTGCATTTTGTGTTTTGTGTGTGTTGCATGTGTCCAGGGGGAGAAACCCGAGAAAAATACAAAAATAGTGTGCGTGCGTTTGCATTCATCGAGGGGGAGAAAATTTGAAAATTCCAAAAAATAGTGTGTGTGAGTTGCATATGTACATAGTGTGTGTGCGTTGCATTCATCGAGGGGGAGAAAATTTGAAAAAGATCAAAAAATAGTGTGTGTGCGTTGCATTCATCGAGGGGGAGAGAATTTGAAAATCCCAAAAATAGTGTGTGTGTGGATTTCAGCGAGGGGGAGTACTTTTATTGATCAGAAATGGGTCTTTTAACCCTTAAGGCCAAACGGGCCCAGCTACCTGTTCTGGCCCAAACCGTTCCAAAACTCGCATATTTAAACCTCAGATCCCCTCCTCCTCCTCATTTCCTACGCTTCCCTCTCGCAAGAAACAAACAGAGCTCGAATTCTTCTTCTCCCTCTCCGTCGTCTTCCAAACTTCCCTCCCTCTCACAGACCTCCCCAAACTCCTCTCCAAGGTAGCTTTTCGTTTCGTACTTCCCCATCACACTCTGGTTTTAGAACGCCATCTCGAACCGTCCCTAAACCAAAAACGCCGTTTTTTCTCAAATAAAATTTTCAAAAAGGGTTTTGGTTGAGTGTGTATTGTTTTTATGTCTTTACAGGTGGTTATCGTCTTCGTTGGGCAAAAACACGAGTTCTGCAACTCGAGTTAAAACGCCTGGTTTCATAATCCGGCGTTTCAAATTCGAGGACAGACCGCGAGTTTGTAAACTCGCGCTCATGAGCTCGAGTTTGTAAACTCGCACTCATGGGCTCGAGTTTGTGAACTCGCCCTCATGAGCTCGAGTTTGTTAACTCGCGCTCATGAGCTCGAGTTTGTAAACTCGCGCTCATGAGCTCGAGTTTGTAAACTCGCGCTCATGAGCTCGAGTTTGTAAACTCGCGCTCATGGGCTCGAGTTTGTAAACTCGCGCTCATGGCCTCGAGTTTGTAAACTCGTGTTCATGGGCTCGAGTTTGTAAACTCGCGCTCATGGCCTCGAATTTGTAAATTCGTGTTCATGGGCTCGAGTTTGTAAACTCGCGCTCATGGGCTCGAGTTTGTAAACTCGTGTCCATGATCTCGAGTTTTATAACTTGGTGCCCGAACTCGTTTCCTCATCTCATAAATCATCAACCCCAAAGGGAAACTCTTTTTTTTGCTAATGTTTGCTATTCTTTCAGCTAAATATGTCAGGCACTCAACAAGATACCTCCCAGGAAGATGTACTCTATACACAGCTGTTCCCCAAATACAAGTGGGTTCGGCTACAGGACAACAACTATCAGCTCGACCTTGCCGTCTTCAAGTGCCCTGACCCAGTCATCCCTATCATCCTTAAGGGGCACTACATCTGGCCGGCACTCACCAAAGCTATAACGGTCCCCGAAATCTATCTGCAACAGTTATGGGGGACCATGCACATGCCTTCCAAAAAGGACGCATCTAGTATCAGTGCCACGCTCCACAACAGAAGGCTGGCACTAACAGCGTCCACACTACGAAACACACTGGAGTTGCCTGTCCACCAAACCTATGACCCGCTACCCTCAAAGACTGAACTGATGCAAGGGTTGGAGAAATTGGGATATGATGCACCACTGCCGTTCCTGTCTCACTTCAAGTTGATGAACCCGCCATACCCATGGAAGACACTGTTTGGCCTCGTCAACAAATGCCTATCTCCGAAGCACGATGGCCATGACAAGTGCAACTTGCAGATTTTCCAAATCTTCCATGGGATCGTCTTCAACAAAAATTATGACATGGCACAGCTATTCTGGATCGAGCTGGTGACTCAAGTCCAGGACAAAGAGGACGGAAAAACAGGCATGACGATTCCCTACGCCAGATAGTTGGCCCTCGTCATTAATGATTATATGACCGCACACCCAGGGATTCCAACGCGCAGAGATGAAGATCAGTTCACTGCCCCCAAGTTCCAGTACTTCAAGCGCTTCAAGCTTGACACTGTGGGGATGACAATACCAGACTATCTGCTGGACTTGGGCAATCCACGACACTCCGCAGTTGTCCAGTATAGAGAAAGCTTACAGATAGATGGCCCCATGGTTCAGCTAAACCCAGCTGGACCTGCCCCGGGGCCTAAGCCGAGAGCAAGTAAGGGTCCAAAGAGAGCCCGTAAGCCACAAAAACCAGTGGCGCGTGTGCCCCATGAAGGGAAGTCTGACGATTCTCTCGAGAGGACTCAGACGGCTGAGGGCACACGTACAAACGCTGCGGAACCTGCCCATGAGTCGTCCAGTCCGGCCCATAAAAAGGCTGACGATGAGGCATCCAATAGCGTGGCCAAGGATGCTGACGATGATGACGACGACGACGATATTGACGACGTGGAGCACACCTTTGCTCTAATCCAAAAGGGGAAGCTGCCACTTGATTCTCCTCCAAAGAAAATCACCCCTGAGGATGCAGCTCCATTTATAGCTGTCCACCCCAAGACCATCGTCATCAAACCAGTGAAGGAGCCAGTTACAGCTAAGATTGCTGCTCCCCGTTCACCTAAGGCAAAGAAGCAGCGTCCTGTCAGAAAAAGTTTGGTCGCTGAAGAGGACCTACACATCTTTGACGACTGTCTTCCCTTCATCACTATAAGCCGGGCCGAATCCTTAAGTACAGGGGCCAATCTTGTTGGTTCCCGGGTAGAAGCCGCAGCATCAGGCTCAACTGCGCATGCACTGCCCTCTCCCAGCCACTCGTTAGCCTCCCAAAAGGCTAACGTTTCAACAACACGGGACTCACCCACCTCACTGGTTCCCTCCGAACCAGTTGAGCGCTCTAGTGGCCCACCGCCCGAGGCCACAACCCCCTCTTTCCACACATCGAGTCTAGGTGTCACATTCCCCACATTTTCAAATTTCTCTAGGACACCTACACCATTCACAGCACATACAGGTGCACACACCCTGAATACAACGACCGGAGTGCAAACGATGATGGTCGGAAGCCCTGCTATGCCAACAATGACTTCATCATTGAACGCAGGCCACACATCAGCTCTCTTCACTGATGCTGTGACAACAGTTACAACCCCTGTAACTGGACCCCTTACATCCGAAGACATTACCGTTCTCATGAACCGCTACATGGAGTCCACCATCAAACCATGGGTGCAACAAGCATTCACCGCTTGGGCACAGGACTCCAAGACAACCCCAGCGGTTCATAGTGAACAGAGCCACCCCAAACCTCACTCTTCACCCTCTCAATCAATTCCACAACCCACTCCTGTCATCCCTATCACCTCCACCAAACCCCTTAGTCCTTCACCCTCTCGGGGAACCCACGATACAGAACTAGTATCGCCCTCTGCCTCGACCAATCCCTTCCACCTATCCCGTCTTGAGCTCGCCGATCTCCTGTTTCTTCGGTTGCTGGAGGTCGACACTTGCAACCTTACACCCTTCGAGCGTGACCTTCTCCAAGTTTTCCTCAACCACGACCGCCCTCAATATGGCACTTGCCGTGACAGTCCCCGAGGCCTCAAACGTTCCCATGAGAATCCCGATGATTCGGAACCTCATGAGGGGGAGAACAAGAGACCTCGGACACTTGAGCAAGCAGCCTCTACCAGCCATGAACCCCATCCAAACACCTCATCAAACCAACCACCACCTTCCTCGAGCCACAACCAAGCCCAACTCTTTAGCCTGGTCGAGCTAGATGAAACATCCCGAGGCTTATCTCCTAGAGATACTGTCCGAGGAGGGGATGGAAGTCCTATAGTGGTTACCTCTGTGTTGGTCCCGGTTATACTGGATACAGTCTAGAGGGGGGGTGAATAGACTGTATTGGTTTTTAGCTCTTTAAACTAAGTACCAGATTTACAGAATAGCCTGTTCTGTTGAAAGAACAGACTGGCAGCGGATGGGGTTCTGGTAGGGAGTTCTGTTAGCCTCAGAGAAGCAAAGGCAGTAGGCCTTCTCTTAACTTGTAGGACAAGTTCTGCTGAACACAGATACCAAGTCTGAGAATTTAAGCAGTTCTATCTAAGTGCAAGTATTAAAGCAGTAAGTAAACGACACCAGAGATTTTTATAGTGGTTCAAGGAACAACTTGTTCCTCTAGTCCACTGTTCCACTAAGCTGTAAAAACTTCCATTTACAAAGCCTTAGTCCTAGCACTTAAGAAGCTCTCCACGTCTTCTTCAAGTCTAGATGTCTTCTGGGATGCACTGCCTGGCTTCCTTTAAGACTGGTCCTTTCACTGAGTTTCCTTGAAGTATCACCACTTCACTACTCCAGTTACTTGGACGACCTTCTTGTAGTAAGAAGAGTTTCTGTTGAAACTGGGGTTCCTCCAACTAGCTTCGTTACAAAAGATTTGTATGTGATGAGCTTGAAGAGTTGAAGAACACTTGGAACTTTGCTTGAGTTGGAAAAAGTATTTTTCCAACTTCTGCATTCTCTTGTAGAAGATAATGAGTTTGAATCTCAAGGAGGCTTTTTGCTTTTTAGAGTTTGAATATCTTGTTTGTAGCAATGGTTAGCAAAAGTTGCAAAGTTATCTTGACAAAGTTATCCGGTTGTTCTTCGTAGTGTATCTATTATACTGAGGTTGTCTTCCCGTTGGAGGAGTAGGAGGACAACTGCATTAAATGAGCGATCAGTTGACTTGACTAGTAGAGCCCGGTAAAGTTGGCGGGTTACTATTTTGGGATAAAGTATTCCTGACATTGCGGCCAATCATCTGCAATTACTCTACGTAGCATGGGGTGCATTAAATGAGCATTTAATGCATGCACTGTAGCTTTTCCGTTTCATACTCCTAGCCGTTGAAGGAATCTTTTAGTTGACTTCCCGGTTTAGTGAAATTCTTCTAAGTGTCAGACCTTCTGGTGTCTTTAACTGAGAGTAGAACAGAGGAGGTCTGGAGCACTTCTGTTTAGAGAATATCCAACAGAGACCCAGAAGGGTTTCTATCAGAGTGAAGACTAACAGAGACCCTGAGGTCTTCTGTTCTGGAGCAGAGAACCAAAGGTCCTCTGTTTCAATAATGCCTTACGAGGCACTTCTGCTCTTGGAGCCCTTCTGCTCAGAAGGTCTTCTGCTCTGAAGGCATTCTGTCAAGTCGATTACTCTAAGAACTTTACAAAGTAAAAATTCTAATACATAATTTCTAAAGGGGTACTCTAAAGTCCTAATTAATCTAGCATCATCAAAATCTAAATACAATTATTCCTTACAATTTCCCCCTTTTTGATGATGCCAAAACCCTTTAACTATTTCCAGAGAAGTGCCTTCACCATAAAGAAAGATTAAGTTTAAAAACTTCCATTAAAATCTTGGTGGGCAACTTGGCATAGGAAAATAGTAAGAGTACGATACATTCAGATAGCAGAAAATAAAAGAATTAAGCAAACACAAGCAGAAGGCAAAAAGACAAGAATTGAGGGAAAAGCACTTCAAAGTAAGAAGGCAGAGATTTGATCTTATTAGATAGATATTACAGAGTTAAACCTTACACATTCTCCAGATTAGCTGCCTGTAGAGCTTCTTCCTCTAGTCTTTGAAGCCTGAGCAGTTCTTCATTTATTTCAGCTCTGATTTTGAACAGATTGCCAGACCTTTGATAAGATGCCCATATTGGAGAAAGCTTGCAGTCCAAATAGTTGAGAACACCTTCATGAATAGTCTTTCCTGGGATAATGTTCTTCTTATACCATTCTTCTGCTTCTTCTAGTGATCCCTCATACCTAACTCTGACAACACCATCTTTGTCTAAAAAGAGGTGCTGTTGTTGGGTAGGAGTCATTTTGGCCTTCATCTCCTCAAATTGAGCTCTGTCAATTTTCTGAGAACCACCCAATCTCCATTCAGTGAAGTTGAAAACTTTCTTCTTCTTGGTGCTCTTCTTTACTGGAGATGGGGGTCTAGGTATGCCTGCTGCTCTCTTCTTCTGTAGGGCAGCTTCAAAGTAGGGAGCCGGATCTACTGCAGGCTCAGCAGAGGAGGGTGCCCCAGTAGGAGTTCTGTGGGACCTAGGCCTGGTCTGTTGAGGGTCCTCTTCCCCCTTTTTGGCATCATTCAGGTCTTCTATCATCAGGCTGATTTTCTGAAATTCTGAAGCCTGAGTGGAGGCTATCTGCTCCAGGGCCTCTGGTAGAGTCTGGGTGACAGAGGTAAGGCCTTCAATGAGACCTTGCTGCTTCTGTATGGCAGAGAAGATGTCCTTGTTATTGGCTTCAAGGAGCACCATCTTCTGATAACGGTCTCTGTCAGTAGATAGAAGTGCTTGAGCCTGTTCTTGATGAATTCTGCACATTGCCTCAATAGAAGTCAAGTGCCTCTCTGTCCTGGCATCAGATTCCTTCAGAGCTTCAAGATGCTCTGAGATAGTGTGAATGGCATGTCCTTGACTCAGTAGAGTCTTTTGAAAGATAGAAAGAGTGTTGTGGATGCCTACCACTTCTGTTGACAGGGCATCTGTTCTGGCAGATGATGAGGCTATGAAGTTGTTGAGAGTTCCTGTGAGGTTCTCAAAACGATCAAAGATGAACTGCATACCTGAGTTTAGATTGTCATTCACATGAGCAAGGTGCCCATAGTGTTTGTCATTGATCTCTATCAGTTTGTTCATGCCTTGGAGGATCTGTCCTCCAAATTCTTCAGCAGATTCAACAAATTTGTTGAAGGGGATGTTGTTCTGTTGTCCATCAGCTTGAGGCATCTCTAGACCTCTTCCCTTAGGCAAAGGATGATGTTCTTGGACAGATGATAGAGATTGGACAAGCTTTTCATGTTCCAGTTGAGTCAGAGGAGGGGTCTTCTGTCTCTTGGATGTGGCCTTGTAGGATTTGCTGATCATGAATCCATCCATGTCAGAGGAAATTTCATAAGGAGCGTAGATAGGTTTTCTGTTGCGGACTACCTTCTTTTTCTTTCTGAGTGAAGGATTGGGGGCAACAGAGTCCCTAGAGTAACCTTTTGGTGCAGAGATGGGAGAGACAGTTGTAGGGTCTGAGTCTCTGAGAAACCATACAGGTTTAAGGTTCTCTGCAGGTTGTTGGGGGGGAGGTGATTCTGGAGGAGGGGATTGATGATCAGATTCAGAGGATGAAGAGGAGATCTGTTGGGGTGAGGGGTTCTGGTGCAGGGGTGAAGATTGAACAGGTGAGACATTCTGTTGAGGGGGGGATGGTGGAGGTGAAGGTGAACGGTTTCTGAATGGAACAATTGCTCTGCAGGGAGATGCAATTTTTTGTTTGTGTGATTGAGGAGGGGTGGGGGTTTTCTGTTTAGGAGATACAGCGGATGGGGTTCTGGTAGGGAGTTCTGTTAGCCTCAGAGAAGCAAAGGCAGTAGGCCTTCTCTTAACTCGTAGGACAAGTTCTGCTGAACACAGATACCAAGTCTGAGGAGTTAAGCAGTTCTATCTAAGTGCAAGTATTAAAGCAGTAAGTAAACGACACCAGAGATTTTTATAGTGGTTCAAGGAACAACTTGTTCCTCTAGTCCACTGTTCCACTAAGCTGTAAAAACTTCCGTTTACAAAGCCTTAGCCTAGCACTTAAGAAGCTCTCCACGTATTCTTCAAGTCTAGATGTCTCCTGGGATGCACTGCCTGGCTTCTTTTAAGACTGGTCCTTTCACTGAGTTTCCTTGAAGTATCACCACTTCACTACTCCAGTTACTTGGACGTCCTTCTTGTAGTAAGAAGAGTTTCTGTTGAAACTGGGGTTCCTCCAACTAGCTTCGTTACAAAAGATTTGTATGTGATGAGCTTGAAGAGTTGAAGAACACTTGGAACTTTGCTTGAGTTGGAAAAAGTATTTTTCCAACTTCTGGCTTCTCTTGTAGAAGATAATGAGTTTAAATCTCAAGGAGGCTTTTTGCTTTTCAGAGTTTGAATATCTTGTTTGTAGCAATGGTTAGCAAAAGTTGCAAAGTTATCTTGGCAAAGTTATCCGGTTGTTCTTCGTAGTGTATCTTTTATACTGAGGTTGTCTTCCCGTTGGAGGAGTAGGAGGACAACTGCATTAAATGAGCGATCAGTTGACTTGACTAGTAGAGCCCGGTAGAGTTGGCGGGTTACTATTTTGGGATAAAGTATTCCTGACATTGCGGCCAATCATCTGCAATTACTCTACGTAGCATGGGGTGCATTAAATGAGCATTTAATGCGTGCACTGTAGCTTTTCCGTTTCATACTCCTAGCCGTTGAAGGAATCTTTAACTGTCAGACTTCCCGGTTTAGTGAAATTCTTCTAAGTGTCAGACCTTCTGGTGTCTTTAACTGAGAGTAGAACATAGGAGGTCTGGAGCACTTCTGTTGAGAGAATATCCAACAGAGACCCAGAAGGGTTTCTGTCAGAGTGAAGACTAACAGAGACCCTGAGGTCTTCTGTTCTGGAGCAGAGAACCAAAGGTCCTCTGTTTCAATAATGCCTTACGAGGCACTTCTGCTCTTGGAGCCCTTCTGCTCAGAAGGTCTTCTGCTCTTAAGGCATTCTGTCAAGTCGATTACTCTAAGAACTTTACAAAGTAAAAATTCTAATACATAATTTCTAAAGGGGTACTCTAAAGTCCTAATTAATCTAGCATCATCAAAATCTAAATACAATTATTCCTTACACTCTGGTACATCACAAAGCTCAGGCCATCGATCAGAACACAGTTCGAAATCGATGACAACATCCCAAGGCGTGTCTCCAAAGGATACCGTCCGAGGAGGGGATGGAAGTCCTGACGATGCTATCTCTGATTCATCTGTCAAGTCAGGCCATCAGCCAGAACTCAGTTCTAACCTGATGACAACGGGCAATCCTAGTGAACCCGGTTGTGCTTCACGAGAAAGATCACCGCAGCTGAGAGTCCCATACATTCCCCAAGGCAAAGACATTCATGATGCACTCGAGGATGTTGTGGTACACGACGTTTGGCCGAGAAAGTGGACAGAGTGGGATGATCTTAGATGCGAAGCTGAAACAGAGGATATGCAGCGAAATTGGTGGCTGAGAGAGTTGCTGGCCAAATGCGCAGAAGATATCATACGCCTTGATGAAGAGGAACTCAAAGAAGGGGAGGACTACAAAAAGATACCTAGGGAGCTAGAATCCGTCATCAGACAAACGGCAGGCAAATTGCCCCCAAAAGAAAAGCTCTGGGAAAACATCAGAATAAATGCCCCCTTCCAAGAGGAAATCAGAAAGGGAATTTGGAGAACCGTAGACAAGCTCAAACAGCTCGATGAACTGAAGATCCGTGGCCTGACTCACCTTAAGGGCAAACTGGCTGGCGGACATCTTCACATGCTGATGCACAGATCATCTGGAAAACAACGACAAATACTGGAAAGATATATGAAGTCCAGCATCCACCCTATTGACGCTATCCTTGATATACACAGAGAAGATCATCACACCATCCCGTTCTACAGCTTCAAAGTTCGACGAACAGACTCCAGCATATTCATCTGCCAGGAAAATGATTTTATAATGATGAAGATAGAGGATATCTACCAAATGTTCATGGTAAGTAGGTATCTCTCACTGAGTCGAAACAGGACACACGAAGAAGGTTATGAGGCGATCAAACGATTTATGCTGAGACAGATCAGATTCTATGCTGCCCATGATCTACAGATGGCCCTGGAAAACAATGTCAGAAAAGCAAATCTGGTAAAGCCAACTCTGAACGGTCCAGAGCTCAAAAAGTACAGACCATATCATATCTTCAAGGACCCGGTCTCTATCATATATCTCAATCACGAGGAACAGAAAAGACTCATGTGGGTAGAAGACATTCACAAATATTGTGATGGGACTCTGAAGATCATCCAGACTAAGCTGCAAGAGATCAAGGAGAATATAGATCCAAGACTTGCGGACGCCAGCGAGGAAGAGCTCCTAGTATACGAGAAGGTGTGGACCATCCTAAAGCCCATCAACGAGCAACTTGAAAAGAGAAGAATGCTGAGACAGTATGAGCATGCGCTAAATTTCAGAAAGCATTACTTCAGATCTCAAAAATAAATGCAAGACGGCACTTGATCACAAAGGGGGAGATTGTTGAAGACTATTTTATTGTGAATCAAGTTTGTCTGTTTTGTCTGTAATAATTTAGATGTTTACTATTTCTGTTATGCACTGATTAAATATATCTGTTAGAATAGTATTCAATATGGGCCAAGTGTTAGGCCCATACTTAGGAGAGAAGCCTTTTTACGCATACCTGAGCCTCGCCTATAAAAGAGGGTGGAGGACTCAGGTTTGCGGTTAACTTTCGTATCTGCTCAAAATAGCCTTAGCGCTGATTATTCTTGTACGAACTGTTCACAGTATATCAGAGAAGGTTTACACTTGATCTTTCTGTGTTCATCTTTGTTGATAATCTTTCATTTGTATGCCATATTATATTGCTGTTATAGAAAACAGGGACTAACAAAAGCTGAGCATGCTAGTGTAGTTGTTGATAGATGTGACTTTGGTGAGGTTTTGATGGTTTGTGACCATGTTAATTATGTGCGTAATTCCCTGTCTGAGCATGAATGGTTGATTGACTCTGGTTGTACCTATCACATGTCCCCTTTTAAAGATTTGTTTTCTACATATGAATTATGTGATAGTGGTTATGTTTCCTTGGCTGATAATAAGAGATGCAATGTGCTTGGTGTTGGTGATACATGTCTGAAATTTTCTTGTGGCTCTGTGTTTACCATTAAGAATGTGAGGCATGTCCCTGGTTTGTGTCATAACTTGTTATCTGTTGCTGCTTTGGAGAGTAGTGGTTTACAGGGAAAATGGGGGAATGGTTGCAAGAAAATCTTGAAAAATTCTCTTGTTTTGTTTAAAGCTCAGAAGGTGAATAACCTTTATGTGTGCTATGCTAAACCTTTTGCTGATTCTGTGAATGTTGTATGTGTTGATAAGACCTCTTTGTGGCATAATAGGCTAGGACATATGAGCAATAAGGGTTTAGATATGATGCATAAGTCTGGTTATTTTGGTAAAGACTTTGTGACTTCTGTGCCTTTCTGTGAATCATGTGTGTTGGGCAAGCAACATAGAGTTAGCTTTCCTACATCCTCTTACCCTAATCTGTCGAAGTGTTCGTTTGTGCTTGAATATGTTCATGCCGATGTTTGGGGTCCTGCCAGTGTTTCTACTCACGGGGGTAGGAAATATTTCCTTTCTATTAGTGATGATTTCTCTAGGAAGGTGTGGGTTTGCCTTTTAGAACACAAGTCTGATGTGTTTGTGAGGTTTAGGGAGTGGAAAATCCTAGTTGAAAACCAAACTTGCAGGAAGGTTAAAACCCTTAGGACAGATAATGGTTTAGAGTTCTCTAATAAGGAGATGGATAAGATGTGTGTGGATTGTGGGATAAAAAGGCATAAAATTGTGCCTTATACTCCCCAACATAATGGGATAGCAGAGAGAATGAATAGGACTCTGTTAGATAAGGTTAGAAGCATGTTAGCTACCTCTGGTTTGTCTAAGAAATTCTGGGGTGAAGCAGTTACTACTGCTGCCTATTTGGTTAATAGGTCCATGTCTGTCCCTCTAGGTGGTAAGTGTCATGAAACCGTCTTTACCGGTAAGCCTCTTGATCTGTCTAACCTTCGGGTGTTTGGTTGTGCATCATATGCACATCAACATGTTGACATGTTGGATCCTAGGTCTAAGAAATGTGTCTTTCTAGGATATCCAGAGGGGGTAAAGGGTTATAGGTTATGGGATATAAACCAAGTAGGCTTTAAGGTGGTCATTAGCAGAAATGTAGTATTTAATGAATCTGATTTTCCATGCTTGACCAAATTTGTTTCTAATCCTGAGTCTAAGTTTGATAATACTCCTAGTGAGGTGAAGTCTATCCCTGTTGCTGCTAGTCCTTTATCTGTTGATCCTGTTATTAATGATTAAACTGATTTGCATGATAATGATTCCTCTGAGCATGATAGTCCCACCACCTCTAGTGAGGTGGAACATTCACATGATGTTGAGCATGAATTGCATGATATGGATGTGGAATCTAATTTTCATGATAACAGTAATTTGCATGAGTTGCGTGTTGAGCCTGGTTATGTTGATTTGAATAATTATCAACTTGCTAAAGATAGAAGTAGAAGGACCATCAGGAGAACTGTTGATAGTATGTCATATTATGCTTTCAATGTGCATGATACTTCTATTTTTGCATTTTCTGTGTTTGAATCCCTAGAGCTGAATGAACCCAAGACCTACCGTGAAGCCTTAGGTTCCAAAGAGTCGCAGAAATGGATTAGTGTCATGAAGAGTGAGATGGTGTCTTTGAGAGTGAACCAAACTTGGACCATTGTACCTAGACCCCCCCCCCCCCCCCCCCACTGTTCGGTAGTTGAGTGTGAGTGGTTGTTTAAGTTTAAGGAAGAACCCAATGATGTTAGGTTTAAGGCTAGGTTAGTTGCTAAAGGGTTTACTCAAACAGAGGGGGTAGATTATGCTGAGATATTTGCTCCTGTGGTCAAGTTCACTACTGTTAGAATTATGTTTGCTCTTGTTGCTCACCTTGATTGGGAAATGAAGCAAATGGATGTGACCACTGCTTTCTTGCGTGGTGATATTGATAAAAAGATTCATATGACCCAACCTGAAAGGTTTGTGGATCCCAAGAAAAATGATTTTGTGTGTTTGCTAAGGAAGACCTTGTATGGTCTGAAGCAGTCTCCTAGGCAATGGAACATTAAGTTTGATCAATGCATGAAATCCATGAAATTTGTTAAGTCTTCATGTGATCATTGTTTGTACTATAAGAATATTTCATCTGTGCATTTATTCTTATTGCTCTATGTGGATGATATGTTATTAATCAGTTCTTGCCTTAAGTCCATTGTTCATGTGCAAAAATGCCTGAGTGAATGTTTTTCCATGAAAGACCTAGGGGATGCAAAAAGGATCCTAGGCATAAATATTGTTAGAGATAGGAGAAAATCTACTCTTGTTTTAAACCAAGTTTCTTATGTGGAAAAGGTTTTGAGTAAATTTAATATGTTATCTGCTTCTCATGTTAATGTCCCTATGCCTTCTCACTTTGTGTTAAGTAAGGACCAGTCTCCCAAGACTACTCCTGAAATTGTGAAAATGAAATATGTGCCTTATTCCAGCGCAATAGGGTCGGTTATGTATCTTATGGTTACTTTGGACATAGGGAGTACTCCCTCCGTTCCTAAAAATTCTTCCCGGTTTGACTTGACACGCTTATTAAGAAAGTGGAATAAAGTCGAAATGTATGGTTGTGGTTATGTAAGAAAAAGGTAAAATAAATGTGAGCCACACAAATTATCTAAAATGGGAAAGTGAGAAGTATTTTTGGGAACAGCCCAAAAAGGAAAGTGAGAAGTATTTTTGGGAAGGAAGGAGTATTATTGGGAAAAGAGGCAAATAAGGCCACGTACTAACAAAAAAAGGTCAAATAAGGCCTTATTTATGAAACTTTGTCCGGCCTTCGCCATTTGGGGTGGTTCTCGCTGGATTTTTTTGATGATTTTTTTTTTACCATTTTATTCATTAAGTCTAGTTTACTCATACCAAATTTCAGATAAAAATTTAATCGAGAAGGCATTCAAATGAATTCTTGAAGATAACTGCGCTTTTAACTGCGCAATCATCTTAAAGAATTCATTTGAATGGCTTCCCGATTGAGTTTTTAGCTTAAATTTGGTATGCGTAAATTAGACTTACTGAATAAGATGCTCAACAAATTTAATCAAAAAATTCCATCTAGAACCAACCCAAATGGCGAAGGCCGGACAGAGCCTCATAAATAAGGCCTTATTTGACCTTTTTTGGTTAGTACGTGACCTTATTTGCCCCTTTTCCCGAGTATTATTCAACGTTGCTCGGGCTAAATATTGATGTAGGGTCACTATTCTTCAAGGCAAAAGTACGTATACAATGGAACGTTGCCAACAATGGTTGAATGAACGACCATTAACGAAGTTAATTAAGTCTACAAGAAAAACTACATCTTCTTTATAGGAAATCCACAATAAACCGAGAAATTTTTTAAATGTGAGGAGTAGATAGATATAATGTAAAAATAGGACCATCATTGTTTAATTTCTAAAGTAGAATCAATGAACCGTTTTAGTAGGTATTTTTTGTGTTTTTCTCTTATGAACCACAAAGGAGTGTTTAACGTGTTTAAGGAGTGTTTAACGTGTCCTTCCGTCGAGGAGTGGTTATTAATTAAAGAAATAGATATTTAGAGTATGGTTAGACTAATAAATCAAAATATCATTATTCGTAATTAAATTTAATAATTCAACAATAATGTTTAACATAATTATTACTTGTGTTGATATATTTTTAGTTTTTCAAAACGTAAAAACACTTTAAGTAGTTGAAATATATAATTATATTAAATAAATAATTGATGTCCTTAAAAGTTATTTAACAAATTATCAACTCATTATAAACAGTCATTTAGTCAAACATCATTTGACAAATTGCTAATCCTATAAGCTATTCAAAACAACTAACCGGAACATATCTCATCAATCAGTTAACACAGTCAGCCAACAACTAACAAATCAACTGACTAGAATTCTAGAACAATAAGGTATTTTTTTAATACACACTCGTATGGTTCAGTAGATTATTACAATTCTTCTTTTGTCTCCTACTCCCCTTTTTCACACAAGATACATTACTTCAGTTTAAATATAATATGCTATGTATGGTTTTTTATTCTAGTGATAAGTGTTTCAGATCACATCTACGACATCCGGGCTCCTATATCATACATCCGGGTGTATGTACACCCGGCCCAACTATGGAAGACAGCCCAATAAATCATACAGGCCAAAAAAAATTCGGTGGCATTTTTGTAATTTAGGCGAAAAATAACGGCTTCCGCTAAATGAGCAATATTGTACTTTTAGTGAGCATCCAACTTAATTTATTGAGCATTAAGAGTCTAACAATGAGTATCACGATCTCTGCTTTATATCTTCTATTTTTTGTTCTTTTTCTTATTTTTTCTTTTATAAAACCTATTAAATTATATCTATAATCCACTCATATTAATTCCAATACACGAATCTAATGTAATATGATACTTTTGAAATATGCATTGACATGACATTTTAAAAATGAGCATAACATCAGTACCAAATGAGCATACATAACTTTTAAAGTGCACATTGATATGAAAATCATAAGGTTTGTTACCCGAACATCATGATATTTGAATTGAGCACCAGACCTCATCTATTGAGATGAAAATCATAGTTTTTGTTAAATGAACATTAATGAACGTTTAATGAGCATCATACTTATTTTGTTGAGTATAAGCATCGTGAATTCTGTTT